TATAGAAAGTACACCTGAACTACAGAAAGTACACCTGGACTATAGAAAGTACACCTGGACTATAGAAAGTACACCTGAACTATAGAAAGTTCACCTGGTCTATAGAAAGTACACTTGGACTATAGAAAGTACACCTGGACTATAGAAAGTACACCTGGACTATAGAAAGTACACCTGAACTATAAAAAGTACACCTGGACTATAGAAAGTGCACCTGGACTATAGAAAGTACACCTGGACTATAGAAAGTACACCTGGCCCCAGAGGCCATCTTATCACCAGCAAACTGTTTTCCCCCACTATGGGGGTGTGCTGTTTGTGGTGGGACTCAGTTTGTTGGCGACTCCTCAGATTGAAGAAGTCCTTTGGATGAAACGTCTCAGCAAAAAAAGAAACCCTTGAAGTCCGTGCTTGGTTTCCGTTATTGACGTTTCTTATTTTTACCAGTTTCTGTCCTCAGTTGATCAGATCTTTAATATTCATGAGTCCCTCGCCCGGCTCACATCGATCTCTGAAGGAGGCAGTCAATGACCCTGCAGAGGCTCAAACAACCGATCGACGCAGGCCCACCTGAGCATGGCCATGGTGAGCCTCTGGGGGAACATGTGCACGATGAGCGCCCTCAGGGTGTCCAGGCTGGTCAGCTCGTGGGTCAGGTGAACCCTGCGGACCTCCTCCCCAAGCTGGAGGAACAAGATCCCTGCAAACATGGGGGGGGGACAGCAGAGAAACTGATTCGACCTTCAAACAGGATTCTCTGTGAAAATCAACATTTTTTAAATTTCTGTCATTGAAGTCTCACTTTTATCAAAACATTATGACCATCTGTAACTACACCATAAATTTATTGCAAAATAAATTCAGTAAAATGGGACAAACGTGAGGCAGGAGGTCTCTGACCCACATTGATGTTTCTGTAAACCGACAGGAGGAAACTCTTCAAATCTGCATCGTTTGTTCAGGAGAAACTTCATGAGTTAAAGTTTGAAATGAGAACAATAAAAATATAACTGTCCACACAAATTAAAGTTTATAAGCCATTGCTGTAAACGTCATAGTTCATGTTTATCTACACAGCCCCTGACGGTGGCAGCTAGCTGTAGCACTTCTATTTTGTGTATTTATTGTTTATGAATTTTCTCCAGAAACCTGCTTCAAACAGACCTGAACCAACTTTGACTTTTACAAACTAATGTGAATAAAATAAAAATAAAATCTATTTACGATGAAATCCTCGATCAGTGCTAAACTGAGGAAAGTCTTTGTTTTGTTTTTTTGTCGTTTTATTCTAATCTTCTGCCTAAGGAGGATAAAATGACACTTTTGTGATTAATCTAAAGTGAACCCTGGTTGTGTTGGATCTGACGTTTACAGCAGCCGATCGAGAACAGATGATCGAGCTCACGATATTGATCGATCCCGAGGAGCCCGGCGGTCTGACCTGGTGCCCGGAGCTTGGCTTGGCTGGACGAGCGGGCCAGCGGCAGGCTCTGGCGGAGCCGGTTCATCCGGTTGAAGCCGATGGGCATGTCCGGCTCCGACATGGTCTCCAGGTTTTCAGCCGAGGCGAAGGAAACCCTGTTGGCCTGGTCAGCAAGAGCCGGCTGCGTCGGGCTGAGCCGGGTCACACGAGGCGTCCGAGTCTGAGACAAAAACAAAAAACACTCAAAGGTTTAAAGATACAGAACGACGCTGCAGCCGCCGAGGAGGAAATCAATCGTCAGAAAACAAGCGGTTCACCTCCGACAGCCGCTTCAGAGAAGACGAAGCAGGACGGAGATAAAATTAGAGCGGCGCCGACAGTCGGGTTCAACGAACCGACAACTCAACGTCACAATCAAACGGCACGACAGACTCTCAGAAACTACCGGAACAACGGCTTTAAACGAAACGCTGAAGAACGGAGCAGAACAAAGAGGAAACAAACGCAGGCGAGGATCAACGAGTTCGAGCTTCAGTTAAAGAAAAAACTCAAGAGTCGCTGAAAGAACGTGAAACGGACACGGAACACGAAAAATTAACTCGTGTGGTTCAACTGAGACATTTTAAAATAACTGGACTTCACTCAGCGGACGGGTCCTAAAATTAACATTTTGTTGTTCAACTTTTTGAGACAGGCGGGTCAGAACATCTACAGGTGTCCTGGTCCGTCTGTCCTCAGGTGTCCTGGTTCGCCTGTCCTCAGGTGTGCTGGTCCGCCTGTCCCCAGGTGTCCTGGTCCGCCTGTCCTCAAATGTCCTGGTCCGCCTGTCCTCAGGTGTCCTGGTCCACTCCTCATGAGCAAACTGTTCCAGCTGTGTCAGGTCTGAAGACTTCCTCCTCCAGATGTTTCAGCTCCTTCCACAGATGTTCAACAGGATTTAGATCAGGGCTCAGGAGGACCCTTCAGAAGAGTCCAATGTTTGGTTCTGATCCGTTCTGGGGTGTCTTAGCTGTGAGTCTTGGGGCATTATCCAGTGGAAGGACCGATGACCTCTGACTGAGAACAACTGTCTGACACTGAGCAGAATGTTTGGATCCACAGAGCCTTGATAGTCTTGAGTTTCAGTGGACCCTGCACAGATTCTAGACCCGTGACAGATGCAGAACCGATCTGAGCCTCCTCCGTGCTCCTCAGCTGGTACAGTTCTTTTAAGTCTGTGAACATGAAGCTGATGGGACTGGTGTTGTCTCATCTGTTCAGAGGACATTCTCAGAAGCTTGGTGTCCTTCATGGTCGTCTTCCATTAAGTCCAATTTGACACAAACAGACTGACGGTGCATTCTGATACTGATGACCTCTGACCTTAGAGTTCCTTGCTAATCTCTAGAAGTTGTTCTGGTCTCTTTGGTCACCATTCATATTATCGTCTCTTCAACCTGTCATCAGTCGTCTTCTTGTGGACACGTCCAGAGACGTCTCCAGTCCCGAGGACCTGATTAATCTGTGCAGCTCAGAGGAACATCAAGAAGCAGAAGACGCTCTTTTATCATTAACACGCTGTCAATCATCGTCCTTCTGAACTCCTGAGACAATGTCCTCAGCTTCCTGTGGTCCACGCTCTGTGAGGTACACACCATGACACCAACAGTCCTGTGACTACATATACAATGTAGACGTTTTAGTTTTTATTTCATTTCTTCCATTTACTTTTTCATTTTATATGAATTTATTTGTCCACTGTTGTCATCATTCTTTGTTTGAACCAGGTCTCTCTTGATAACGAGTCCTCGTGACTCAATGAGACTAACCTGTAGAAATAAAGGTTGAATGAGTGGAAAGGTACTGACCAGGACAAACTGGACCCTGACTCCCACTGATACCTCACCTGTCCAGTCAGAACCACCGGAGGGTCCGACCTGTGCAGAACCTCATTACGGCAGGCGCTGCTGCAGCACTTTGGTTTCTAATGAATCCTTACTGACAGGACATTTTCTAGCCCAAAGAATCCAGTAATGAGCTCCCAGAATACTTGGTGGAGCCGCCTGGTCAGAGCTTCATTTTCACAAACCGCTAGTGGGTTTGCACCGAGCAGAACCGCACAGTTCTGCCATGTGTGTGTGTGTTTACATGTAAGAGACGAAACAATCTCGTCAAAACGTAAAAAAAGACCGTCACATGCTGGAAACCTCTCTGGAGACGTTCTGTTTTCTTTAAATGGTAAAAGCACACGAGTTAACGTGAAAACAGCCGGACGGATCACGTGCTGCTCCTCATATGTTTGGAGATTTATGGTCTCAGAACGGGTTTGTCAGCCAAACACACACCTTCTGCTTTAAACACACAACGACTGAAGCGCAGAGGAGAAAAACAAAACCACCGGGAATCATAAAGTTTCTGTTTACTGAACTGTGAGAAAGAAAAAGAGCGAAGGAGAGACGAAGAACACCAGACTGGAAATTAAACATGAAGGAGGCTTAAAAAGCTTTTATCTTTTTATATTTCCATTTTCTTTCTCTGTTGGCTGCACAGGTCTTCAAGAAGTGAAGTCAGAGTGGAGCTAAAGGTTTGATTGTACACAAACAAACAAGCGCTATAACCATGTCCCCCATCGCTGAGGGATTTGAGAAGTGAATGTTTGTAGTTTTCAACATGAGTGTTTGTCCCAACTGGAGTTCAGAACCTAAATGTGAGATATTTAACTGGGTACGAGGTTACACGATGTATAAGAACAGAGGTAAATTTTACTTTCCTTAGGAAGCACAAATGGAAGAAATAATTTTTCCAGACTTACAGAGTTTACTTATATAAATATATGGAGGCAGCCATCTTGGATTTTGACATGGCAAGACAATTTTCTAAAGGAACATTTGTTTTATCTAGATGCAGCTGCACATTAAACTGGAAGTTGATACCTCACTTATTTTTTAAGTCATCATGCTCAACACAGACGTATGGATGGATCAGTTGTATTTCTAATTCCTCCTTTTCGCTCAGAGATGGGGGACAATTACAGCGACCAGATTTAAGTGACTTCTGCTGCAATAAGAAGTCAGGAAGTTGTGCAGAAACATCAGAACTCTAGTTTTATTTTTAATCCAGTATATGGTAACTAGCCCACAGTTAAATCATTTTAACAAATGAGCATTTCCAGAACTTTGAGGCAACTGTTAAACGTTTATAAACTAACAAGTGTTTATAAGACTGAAGAAAGTAAAGAGAAGCAGTCGACCTTCAAAAAACAACTGATTAAGAACTTAAGACTAAAATAAGTTCTTGCAGTTTAAAAAAGAAAATCAAAGCGTCTGGATCTAAACTTTTGCTCCGTGTGTTCTGAAGATCATCCAGCATCATCTTCAGTCTGGTTGAAGACGCAGCTCTTTCTGAAGACTTTCACTCCAACATGAACGTTTCGAGCCGACAGGACGCTCAGCGTCAAACGTCCACATTTATGGATGCATCCGTCTGCCTGGCGGGGGTGCTCGAGTACCTGACCGCCGAGACCCTGGAGCTGGCTCGTGACAAGAAGAAGACCGGGAACACCTGCAGCTGGTGTTCCACAACAACAAGGAGCTCAGCAAGCTGCTGAGAGGAGTGACCATCACTCAGGCGGTCCTGTTGCCCAAGAAGACCGAGAAACCCACCAAGTCCAAGTAAACGGATCAACATCTGCAACCAGTGCCTTCAGATCCGCTGTGGGACAGACGGCTCAGAGATCCTTCCTGCCCACAGCCATCAGCATCTAGAACAACTCTTTAATGGAACCAGAGTGATGAGCTACATTTAATTTCCCTCTGGGATTAATAAAGTATTTTTGAATTGAATTTAATTTAGCCCCAGAGGTCCTGCAGAGCAGCGAGGGGTTAATTACCCTGCTCAAGGGCACTTGTTTTAAAGTGAGGGGGTGCGCGATCTGCAACAGTTATAGATATTCTGAATGTAAAACTGGAGATTTTCAGCAGGGACTGGATGTGACTCTAGTTCTCAGACCATCTATAAACAGCGTCAACAGTTTCTGATTACAGATTATTGTTTCTTAATTACTGTGTGCGAGCTGAACCCCCATCCGCCTTTTTTTAATCTGCGACGGAAACCTCTCCGTCTTGGCAGATGGCAGTGAAGTGCCAATAAGTGATTCTGGCCACGTGCCGCAGCACAGTGCCAGTCGGGGAAGACTGCAGCAGTCCTCCTAAGCTTTCAGAGGCAGAAAACAGGTGTAATTTTCTCCTCGGCAGGGCGAGGAGAGATGGATTTGAAAAGCACGAGGTCACCTGGGAGGGCTGGGGGTGAGACAACTGGGACACCAGTTTTAGGAAGCTTTGTGAGGGTGGCCATGAAAGGCAGACAAACGTGTAATTGCAAAATGTCTCATGAACAAGCGTAAAAAAATGGCTTCAACTCAGTCAGTTCTACAGAAGATGAGCTAAAATTTGATGTGATGGTAGCCGAGTCTTCACTAACATGAACTCTGAACTCTACCAGATCTCCTGAGAAGTTTATTTAAAACGTTGGCATGAAAGTTACAGTTTCTTTTTGTGGAAAGACATTTCGCCCCTATCCGTAGGGCTTCATCAGTCTAAGGAGTAAACTGATAAGATAACCATCTTGTCACCAGCAAACTGGTCGATCCACTAAAGAAGTTTACTGCTTAGTGGGGAAAACAGTTTACTTGGGACTCCTCAGACTGATGAAGCCCTCTGGATAGAGGGCAAAACGTCTTTCCACAAAAAAAGAAACTGGCCAGATGACCTGATTGACCATTATTGGATTTTGTACCTGGATGATTGAGCATGAACTTTGATATACTTTTAAGCAATATAAAAAAAGTAGAAAGTATCATATTCTCAAATGATAGAGGTGGTCAGTTTACAAATATGTAGGTGGCCATCTTGGTCTTTAATGAGTCAACCCAGTTTTTGATGGTGATCTTTCTCTTGTGCCTAGATACAGCCACACACCAAAATGGAAATCTGCATGTTGCTAGTTTTTCAAGTTATTCAACTCCAACTAAAATAAGGTTTACATGTATACATATTTGTTGGCAGCCATCTTGGATTTTGATGTGGCAACCCAGTTTTTCATAGTGACCTTTCTTGCACGTAGATGCAGACACACCAAAATGGAAGTTGGTACCTCACTTTTTTCAAGTATCCAGCTTGCAACATGGACGGACAGACAGACGGAGGGCGTTTACAATTCCCCCTCTTCACTCCGCGATGGGGG